GAACACTTTCCCACTGGAGAGAACAAAGGCTTTAATTTAGGACTTCTCCCATTGCCAGCAACCCAAATGTTCTCACTTTTCTAGAAGTAAATTCCAATACCACCTACCTTAAATCATGGAACACCTGGAAATTTCATGTCTTACATATCTACAAAGAACTGAATAGTTTTCATGGTTTTCCTGGGACATGGGTAATTCCAAATACTGCAGAGAATCTTACTGCCTAACCACTGAGAGCATTTAATGGCCCAATAAGAAAAACGGGAAGAATTAATGGCACACATCCAGAGACGGAAGGACTCACACTTGAACAGAACAAGGGCAGCACATTCTCCTGCTGTGTGATATGCTGCCTGCAGGAACAAACATCAAATCTCAGACTTCATCATTTCCCTGTTGCCAGCAAAGGGACAAGGAAGTCTTGAGCATTTTTTACTGTGCCATAGAGGCTCACTGATGCAACAAGATGTTAACATTCTTTTGCCACCAAGGCTTTAATCATATAATGACCCTTCTGCTTTTGTACTTTGCAAACAGAAAAAACTCAACAAAACTCTTTGTCCCCCAACTAGATAAATCTCAGAAGAAACCACGCTTGGCATAAACTCATCAGTTTATGTTAGTGAAAATATAATAATAATAATAACAAAAAATTAAACCCTCAAATGAGGAAATTCATTATATTGCCATCAGAATTTGGATACTGCACAGTAAATGAGCTTGAGAACACACATTGTAAGGCGTGGCAGAGATGAAATACTGAATATCTGTTTATTAAGAAAACAGTTGACCTCATCTTGTGCAATAGGAGAGCTGAGGTTCCTAGAAGCATAAACATAGGACCATGCAATTAAGCACTGTGCAACAATTTTACAGAGCACCCAGCAGGCTCAATTACAGCTGTAGAGACAACCTTCATTCTTCCAGCATTTGAATTTTCCATTTGCCACCTTTCTATACTTCTCATGCAGATTTCATGCTCAATTTGGAGGGCAGGAATCCTTATTAATGCAACTAAACTTCTGCTTTATTCCCCACAGCACATGAGGCTGGTCAAAGACAAGCTGGGCCACTCTGAGAACTGAGTATATAGTAGCTACTGAAGCAGTTCACACTCCATCTCAAGCATGGCCTAAATTCAAACCTAAATTCTCTCTTGAAGCCAAGACATTTTAACAGAGGACCATGCTTACTTCCTTTTTGTTTGAAACCTGCCATTGCAAAGACAGCTTTGAGCTCTTGCTACTTTTCAACATGGGCTCAGCAATGCTGACTCTCTAAAGCACGTGTAAGATTTGCAGGAAGCCAGGCTGCAAGCATTGTCTCACTAGCAGACAAGACAGGTAGAGTGTTAATTGCAGAGCATGTATTAGGGCTCTCTCAGGCCTGGGTTCTACCGCAGTGGTGGAAATAATTAATTATGTAAATAAGTAGTTATGGATCATTATATGAAGGAAGTAATTAGCTTTCACTGCTGAGGTATGCAGGTATATAACACAAATAAGGTCATCTGCTTATAGAATGCAGTATTCCACCCAAGATCACTGGAAACAAGATGGCTGCTCTAGCACAGCAAGCTGATCATACTTGGTGTTAGCAAGATAACAGGGATATTAGCTATACACAGACTCACCACCAGGGTGCTGGCCATGGACCCTGACCTACCTGGCACAGGGGCACTGAAGGACCCTTGGCAGTCTTGCCTGTGTTGGTCAGGTGTGGCACCTCTCACCAGAGACGGGTGGGGTAGGGACCAGAAGATCCGTGATGCAGTGGTGGTGAGATCAAGCCCAGATCAGGTCAGAAAACAAGCTGCATACATGCACCTTGGGGTAGAAGGAAGCTGGAGTACACCCCAGTTACATTCCTTACATTCTTTCAATCAATTTTCAGTATCAGATGCTAGACTTTAATATTCGGTAGGAGCTGACAGACAACTGGTGGTCCAGTTATTTCAAAATGCCATGTCCAAATGTCATCCTTAAAAATCCATTTCCAAATGAACATGCTGCATATTTTTTGTGAAAATATATTTGATTGCTGCATAATTCATTCTACCCTTTCCCTAAGTCATTTCTGTGCCCAGCTGCCATGCTGGGCTGAGGGCATAGGTATCTCAGTTTAACAGATTGGATTTAAAACCTGAAGTTAGCACAGGCTGGAACGTATCTGTGGTATCTGTCATCATTCCTTTCAAGCACTGCCATAGCTCCCATGTTTCCTGAAGTCCTAAACAAGAGGTTGTATTCATTGAAGAGCCAAGGCAAAAAGTCCAAAACAACAAGCATGATGAACGTGCCCTTTCTGTAGGCCTCACATAGAGCCACATTAAGAAACTGATGAAGCCATTACTCCCTGGCTTGTTTCCCCGGCATCTTGCAGCTGCACTAAGGGAGTAACTTTGCAAGTGTGGGTTCATGACCCAGGACACACACTTTCAAACTTGTATTCTGCATAAATAATCTGTTCCTACTCACTCACTCAACTCACGTGCTCATTTCTCACTCTTCTATGTGATAAATGCAAATATCATTGGGGAGATCTCTAATACTTAAAACTTCTTGGATTTAATTCATACCTGCTAACAACAACTTGTGCATGTATACATACCAGACAGAATCTCTGTTTCAGTTTTCTCCTTCTGTGTTTTCTGCTTTTACTGGAGTTGGTGAAGAAATGAAGGTAATTTCTAAATAAAGAAGTAATGGAGGAAATAATCTAGCCCTTTTTTCTATTCTTTCAACATTTGTTTCACATTTCCAGACACCAATTCACAATACTTGGAGACAAAGTCTTGTATATCATCAAATCCATCTCTTTGTCAGGACAAAGTAATCTCACTCTTTCATGAAACTCTCCAACTTTAAAAAAAAAAAAAAAAAACCAGCTCCTTTCTACAGCTTTATCCACCTTTTCTGATTCTGCAGAAAACAGCTTCATCTTTCAAATGTATGCTACCTGGGATTATCCCCTGGAGAAAGAAAACCACAGGGAACTGAGCTCCTGTTCACAAACAGGGTGCACTCCCCAACGCAGGACTTCCTGTTGCTAATCTCAAAGGTAACCGGATACATCACTAGAAAAGCTGCAGTCCAGAGCTTTGACTGAGGTCAAATAACATTCCTCTAAGTATCCCTGTTTACTCTCTCTGCAGAGCCAACCTTTGTCCATATTGCTCAGGAGTCAATGCATTTCCAAAATACTTCACCACCCAGTACTCAGCCTGACTCAGCAAAGTCTAAATAGCTGACCATATCCCAGAGAAGTCCCCGTTGGCTTGATGTTTCATCCACACTCAGGCTGTATGCATCCTACTCATGAACGTGTGAATCCTAGTCTAGATCACCTTGGATTTGTTACAGAGGGAATCTCAGATTTCTTAAATGCTTTCACAGCAGTTTGCTCAACAGCAAGAAAATGCAGCCACCATCTACTGCTGGGAACACTTCAGTGGTCTAGCAGAAGAGGCAGTGATCAGTGAAAACAAGGCATTAGCCCATCTGCCTGCAACTCAGGAATTCATTACTCTTTCTTTTCCTTGTGTCTCATGCAGACTTATGTCATTGCTTAGAAACAGTTCCACCTATAAACATACATTAAACATACTGCACATATTGGCATATTTGTATTAATACATGACACTATCTAGATATATATTCATTAAATACATTATAAAACCAGCAAATTTTGACCAGGTGGGGATTCTGAATCTGTCTGTCTGGTAACTAATACTGTCTTTTAAATGATCATATGAATACTTTTCTCTGGCAGCGTCACAGGTAGACAATTCCCTGTAAATACTTTCTTTTCTTAGAAACATAATCCCAAATTTCTTTATTTTCTGCAACAATTATCTATACCTCTTTACAAGGTAAAGGAACACCAGAATAATTCATCCTTATCAGTGCTTCCCTCCTGAATCATAAGAACTGGGCCAGTTCGGCCCAGTGTGGACATGGTTTTGTTTACGGACAGCCACTCTCAGCTCTGTGATGAGATTTTGAAGCTTTTTCCCAGACCTGTTCTTAGGGCACTGTAACTTGCACAGAGGTAGGCACTGCACAGGGAACATCTCTTATACTGAGAGGACTTCCTCATTCTGTCTACAGGTATTTTCTGTTGTTCTTTGGCATGTGATGTAAATCAACACACAGGCCTTCATCATCAGAAACCCATCCTCCAGCTATTACCCACATTTCTTTCCAAGTTATCTGAGCTCCAGTTATCTGAGCTCTTCCTATAAAACTAAGTTATTCCAAAGAGACAATTTTGACCCAATCTTGAGGGTGAGGCAGCAAAACTGCCTTCTCCATCCACATATCAAACCCTAAAAGCTAATGTATAGTAACAATGGTGTTCAGCTACCTTAAATTAAGCTCATTTCTCTAGTAAAAGTTTGTTTCATACATTTCTTTTCAATCTCATTCTGAATCTTTTGTTCCATTCTCATGGTAAATTGTACCATTACAAGAATCAACTTAAGTGTAAAAGAGTGCTTCCCAATGGTTAAGTCCCACAGATAAATAAACTCTCTTTCTTTCAGATTAATCCCCTGTAAGTAGTGGAAGCTTAAATACGAAAAGTAGAGTAGATTTGTCCCATTTCACCTATCAACACAAAGAAAGCCTTGGAAGCAATACAGAAGATACTTAGACTGTATCTCTCAGAAACACACTGAATTATGACCCTTCTCACAAACCACAAATTCAGGCTTGGAAAGCACCCACACAGGGCCAGAGAAGCCTCTAACATTTAAAATAATGTGAGCATTTAACAGATGATGAGAAAAATAGACTTTTTTCTCCCCTCATCTTCACTCTCTATTTCAACTTTGCAGGGCTTTTCCATGTGGGAGGTGTGTTGTTTTAAAAAGGGACAGAGCTCGAAGGACAGTGCATAAGATTAGAAAGTGCAGTGAGGCAAAGTAATTACCTCGCTCTATCCAGGTGTTCAGGGAACTGGTGACAAATCAGCTGAAAACAGTAGTTCTCCACCGAGCATTATGAGTTGCCAAGTCGGATCCCTACCTTGTCTCGAATCCCTTGTCTCATAACTTCTCTTTCAGCCTCCATCTTGGCATATTTGGCTTTCCTCTCTTCCTCTTCTTGCCTGAGGGCTTCCTGTCTTTCCTCTTCTTTCTTGGCAGCATCTGGGTCTTTCTCTTCATCCCCACCCAGCATCTTCCCCATGTCTTTGGTAGCCCCTAGAGAAAGCACAAGAGAAAGTCAGCCATGTAAGAATGTGGGAAAACTACCTTGATGCCAGCTCTCTCCTTCCCCACACTCAGGAAGCCCTGAAGGGGCTTGAAGGACTTGCTCTGAAGCACAAAAACACCCTGCATCATTTACTAAAAAAGGTACCTTCACCCTGGAAGAACTTCCACTCCCTCTGCATCTGGAAAGGTTTCTCCTTCACTGAGGAGGAAGCACACTCCCCACAGAGGCAGGACGTGGGTGAAACACCCAGCCTAACCAGGTGGATTACTTGGCACTGGTGGGAGAAGCACGGCAGCAAGAGACTACATCTGTAGACTTGCATGATGGCAACACAATTGGTTTGCAGTCCTGAAGGGGGCAAGCTGCCACCCACTCAATGTTTTGCCTTCATCAGCTCAGTAAAGTGACTGAAAATTTATTTTGGAGGGTCTTTAATGAACAGGCAGGTGATACATCCAGAAAGAAATGACACAAGGGCTAGGAAAGGAATTTGAAATCTCGATTACAGGAATGATCACAGTCTTAATTGTTGCCAGAAATTACATGTCCTGTGACAAATACAAGCACACAGCATTAGCAAGCATTCGGACTTGTTGATGGTTTCTAGGCTCCTACCATGGATTGAAAAGAAGCAGCATCTCTGCATGTCTCTTATCTAGCCTAGGCCACCACTGCTTCTAATGCTTAGTATGCAGGTGGGAAGCTGGCTCTGCCTGGTCCTCTTTCTACCCCTGCATGCACATTGGTCTCAAATTTTCAGCCCCAGTGTGCTCCTGAGCCAGCTCTTGTTATTGTGCAAAGTCTTTGCACAGCCATGCAAATAGGGAGGCTTCTTGCATGTCCCTCTGTCCCCACAGGGCTGCATAAAGGCCATTTACCCTGTATTTCAGAGGCACTTTTATTGGCAAATGACTGGCAATCACCCACCTGCAGAGGAAGGCAGGGGCTGGGGAAAGAGGGAGGGTATTTATTGTGATACTTCATCATCAGGGCACTGGAGGGCTGCAGCAGGATCAAGCCTGGTTGCATGGATGAAGTGAAGACACATATCCTTTTGGAGTTGTGTCGGACTTGCCCTGAAGCACGAACACACCCTGCATCTTTTACTAAAAAAGGTACCTTCACCCTGGAAGAACATGGTAGGTGGCTGGTTACTGTCCTTAGTTCCTGGGTAAGGACAGCTCCAGACTGGCTCTTTTCCAGCTGAGACTTAACTGAGTTAATCTGAGATAGCCTTGTTGTAACATGCACTCACATGCACATACATGTATACATATTTAACATCTCTTGCCTTGCATAAGGCAAAGTTATCTGGCCTTTTCAAAGGCTTAGGCTGGAAGGAGACACTATCAAACTCCTTCCAAATAATTGTTTGTTGGCATTATTAGAAGCTAAGAGGTTTTCATAGCCCCTTACCTCTCCCTTACAAATCACCTCTTCAGTGTGTGAGCAGTACCAGAGGATTCCGTTTGCTCTTGCTTTCCATGTCAGTTCTTGGGATGGCAATGGTGGAACCTTGGTTCTTACAGGGAGAAACATCTGCAACGTGTCAGGATGATTCCTCCTGAATTGCCCCAGACATGACAGTTACTGGATTAACTACTGCCCTAATAACCACCAGGAATTTGTTGAGAGGTTAGCAGTTCCTGTAGCTTTTCCCCTCCACATTTCTTTTCCTGGTTGTGTTTTCCCAGAGCCCTAAATCTAAAGCAGCTTTGAATCAAAAGCAACCCTCCAGTTCCCCAAAATGTGACAGAGAAATAGCACCTTTGAACCTCCCATACAGAAGCATGGGGAAACTGATCATTCTAAGCCTGGCAAGATCTGGTTGTTACGAACTTTTTTTGCCAGGTGGAAATAATAACAGTAAACGTGACTGTCTCCATTCAGCTAGCTAACCACAAGCCCCTTGACATTTCCATCCTATTGGGAAACCTCTGGCTAAAAAGAGAAAGACACCCAGGGACCCCAAACAATTCCCAGATGGAATATTCATGTTTCCTAGCTAGTGTCAGCCTTTCTACACTGTCATTATGCATCCTCTTCTGCAGAGCCAGAGTAATACAGGAACTCTTGCATTTTGAGGGCAAATTTACTCAGACTATGCAGTGATTTCTTTCCTGGGATGCAAGGAAGGCTAACTGAAATTGCAAGCAAACTAGAATTTCATAACAAGTGGACAGGCTATGCAGACTAGTTGGGTCACACATCCTTATTGCAGGGACCTCCCTAAGCAGCTTTATTGTGCATAAATCATTGATGACCAATGCCAATAACACCCTTAATTTCTGGATTCCCCTCAACAAATATTTCCACTGATGAGCAAACTGATTTGTGTTCAATTATCTATCAAACTTATCTCATTTTAGCTTCTCTCCACTTAGAGCTACCCAGACAGTGTAATACAGTAGTTACTTATGAAGCAGAATTCAGCAGCAGATAGAGATTATTTTTTTCCTTCTAAGTGCTACTTCTAGGCTATCATTAAGTTATAATGTCTTCTTAGCTCATCATGTAAGGAAACAAATTGCACAGACTTCTTTTTCTTTTATCTCTTAGACCAGAACAAGATTTTGAATACTTCAGGCATTTGATTTTGCAGCTATTCAGCACACAGAACACCTACAAGAACAAGAATGTAGTTTCAGGATCCTCACAGACTCTTAAGTCATCCCTGATTTCAAAGTCACCTTCTAAATGTGCAGAATACTGCGCTGTGGTATCACTGTTAACTAATTGGAAAGAAATCTATTATGAGAAGCAAAATTTTACACTACATTTTAATTCTGATCTCTTGTGTTACTTTTGGTATAGAAAAGCTTTTTTCTGTCTCATTTGTTCTTCCTCTTAAACTTTAGGCTTTGTTGTTAACATTCCCTGGATAACAGCTTCTGTTTTTAGCAGTTCAGCAGTGGAGGCTCCAGAGAATTCATTTGCATGCAACTGAGTTGCTGCAGTTACAGGCACAAGCAGAAGGAAAGGCAGAAGTTCTGTCCTCAAGCCTCCTTTTGAAGCTTCCAAGGAAACAGAGAGGAATAAACAGAAGACAGAGAATGCCAAAGTAATCACTAATTAGTAAAGAGCTTCAATCAACATTATTTCCAGCATCTCTAGGTAAAGCCACAGGAAGAACACAGAAATGGCTAAAGCTCCAGGACAACATGTGCAAACTGTCACCTTTCTGGCTATAAGAAACAGCCATGCCACCAAAGGATAAAAAACTTCCATGAGTGAAAACATCTCAGAGGTGCTTTGTTTAGAAGACAAGTGGCATGGCAGGCATTCCAGACTAATAGTCATTCCCTTGATCCACACAGGCTAAAGAACTAGGCAATCAGGTGTTAAGCCAAATACTATGAGCACTCTCAGAAACACTTTCATGTGAGATTTGCTGGCTCAGTTGTCATCAGCCATCCAAAAAACAGTAATTCATGTGGGAGACATTGCCCAGTGAAACAGCTGGAAAGCAGGTCAGCTGTCTGGAAAGCAGTTTTGCAGTAAAGGCCTTGGGGTCCTAGTGGACAACAAGCTGACCGCGAGCCAGCAATGAGTTCTTGCAGCAAAGAGGGTCAACGACCTCCTGGGCTGCATTAGAAGGAGGGTTGCCAGCAGGTTGAGAGAGCTGATCTTTCCCTTCTACTCAGCCCCAGTGAAACCAAACTTGGAGCAATGTGTCCAGTACTGGCCTCCCAGATACAAGAGAGATAAGGAGCTACTGGAGTGAGCCACCGAAGGGCCAAGAAGACAATTAGGACACTCTCCTACAAGGATAGGCTGAGAGAGCTGGGACTGTTTAGTCTGGACAAGAGAAGGTTCAGGGCGGGTCTCAGTAGTATGTGTAAATACTTGATGAAAGGGAATGAAGAAGAGGAAGCCAGACTCTTCTCACTGGTGCCCAGTGACAGGAGAAGAGATAATGTGTACAAACTGAAATACAGGGAATCCCATTTAAACATAAGAAAAAAGTTTTGGGCTTGCAAAAAGAGGCTGTGGGGTCTCCATCTGTGGAGATATTGAAAACTTCATAGGCCACAGCCCTGAGCAACCTGCGGTAGGTCACCCTGTTTGAGAAAGGGATCGGACTAGACAACCCCTGTAGATCCCTGCCAACCTCAGATATTCTGTGACCCTGTGAGATATCAGAAGTGGTTTAAATGGCAACTGAAAGTGACTGAAGTGAATTTTGCAAGGGAAAGGATGAAGAGCACATACCCAAACCGATCCTGCATCTGAACTGAAGGAAAGTAAATTTTAAACTGCCAGACCTCTGTCACAGGAGCACCACCTCCTATGACCTAACCCTTCAATAGCTCACTGACATCAATCCAGCTTTCACACAGAAAACGTAAACTCACAAGAGTTTACTCAGGTTGAGTAAACTCAACTTGCATGAACAGTGCTCAATTTGTTACTTGTTTAAAAAAAAAAAAAAGAAAAAGAAAATTTTCTCCTAAATATTGACATGCAAAGTTATTTGCTGCAAAAGCTATATGGAACAGGATTAGGATTTTTAAATATGACTTACAGAGAAAGAGATTAATAAGAAGGAACATCTTGGGAATTCTTAATTAAGCGAAGGATGATGGAAATTTGCACACACCATTGCTTCAGGTAAGGTAATTAAGTGAAATCAGAAGAATTTCTTTTGCACAAATCTCATTTCATATTGCAGACAAAAGCAGCCACACCTGTCTTTCAAGATGGATGTGTATGTGTGTGCTTAGATCTCAGAGGATGTTGCAGAAGTCCCCCCCACCCCCAATCACAGGTGTTAGAGGAAGCAGTGAGATGTTTACCTGAAACAGGCATGCCCTGAGGAAATTTTGCAGGTTGTTTTTTGGTAGTACTATTTGTGGCTGAGCCATTTTTAGACCAAACTGATAGGACAACTGATGTCTCAGAGTTTCTAAATCACAGCACAATTTTTATCACATCATCCAAACATCTGGAGCTAATCACCGAGTACTGTCCTGGAGCAGGAATGGGTCACTCATATTTGCAGCATCACTTCAGAACCAGAACTAAGAATGTTTTATTGATATCACTAGAGATACACCTTTTTCATCAAGGCCATTAGGCAAAGGTTATGTCTGATATACAAGAAGTCCTTTCCTCATTTTAAGGCTCATGAAGAAGGTGAATTTGCCATTAAGAAAAATAGCAATCATTATGGGACTCTGTCCAGAAATCAAGATACTTAATCACTAATTTGTACAGAAAGGCTAGGCTGCCATTTATATGAAACTTCACTAAACAAAGGGATTTCATATGCACATTTTTCCCCAACATGAATCATATCTAAAGGAATCAGATCTTGTCCAA